GAAAATATCGAGTTAGAAGCAGTTCTCTGAGTGAAAGGGTGGTGTTGATGCTAGAGATCAGAGGAGAATGGGCAGAAGGTTTGGGGCAAGGAAGGCAGCAGCAGCAACTCTAATAGCCACTTGTTACAACCAAGGTATGGAGAAGAGGATCTATGAAGGCACAACATATCGAGTCTTCCTGTCAGCTGAGAAAAGCAAACTTGCATGTGCTCACCAAAATTGGACAACAGAAGATTAGAAAAAAAATGTTACCTGGCCTTATGATTCTTTATTTATGCTGCGATATTTACATGGTAGGGTCAGAATTTGGCACAAATAACATGATAGCATGGATCCACAGCTCAAGCTACTGCTAGTGGTATTATGATGTGAAGGATATTTTCTTGACATATTTTGGGCCCCTTAACACCAAATGAGCATCATTTAAACACCACAGCCTATCTGTGTGTTATTGCTGACCATGCCCATCCCTTTAGGACCACAGTGTACCCATCATCTGATGACTGTTTCCAGCAGGGTTATGTACCATGTCATAAAGTTAGACTCAAACAGACAATGGATTCACTGTATTCAAATAGCCTCCACAGTCACCAGATCTCAGACCAGCAGAGTAGATTTGGAATGTGGTGAAAGAGGAGACTGACTTCATAAATGCCCAGCCGATAAATCTGTGTGATACTGTTATGTCAATATAGACCAAAATGTCCAGGGACGCTCCCGGCACCTTGTTGAATCTATGCAGTAAAAACTGAAACTGCCCTAAAGTCAAAAAGGGTCCAACCTGTACCTAATGAAGTGGCAGGCATGGGTGGATAGGGCTATTAAAGCCAAACTAGAAAGGTTCCAGGCCTTTTGTATCTCATGCTATGAATAGAACACAATGCTGTGTTGTCTATGAATCTGACCGTGTGGAAAACTTTTTTGTGAACTAGTGAAACTTCCTCACATTCACACACTATAAATCACAATGTACCTTCCTCTAGTTCTTCGATCATTTGAAACAATGATACAAACGTGCATACAGTCTCACTCTCTGAATGACTTGTGCAGCACTGAAACCGAAGCTACTGAAGAGTCCCTGATATGATAACAACATTTCAGATCTGGCTTCCCACTGGTCTCACAGAGATCAAACATGATGACTTAGACCTTTTCAAAGTGATTTAGTAGCGATGTGAGTGATTTATTGGCTTATTACAGACCACAGATTAACAAAGCACTGAACAAAGTGCTGAAACTCGGGAATGAATGTCTCGATCTCCTTCTGTACCTAAATAAGTGAACTTAAATTTTTTTATTCTTTTTTTTCTTTTCTTTTTTTGTACAGATGTAATTTACCCGACATCTGTTTTAAATCAACAGGAAAATTGAATGGGTAGATCCACAGACGACGCCTTCAGTTCAGCTTTTTATAGCCTCTGTAAACCAATACATTAACTACTGTACAGTATGCACATTGATAAGTAATATCTATTTGACAAGACATAAGACATTTCCTCCAACAGACGACGCCATTTTCTGCTGTAACTATCTCTTCTGTGCACTCTTCCAGAGTTTGATGCAACTGATAGCGGTTAATGCAGCTTTTATTTGGTTTAATCTGTTCTGGGTTTGCTGATTGTGTCCCATTTGAGGGGATGAAATCATCCCCCACATGATTGCATCCCCTTAAATCATAACTTTTATTGCCACGTGCACCACTAGCATGCGGTGCGCAGTATTTCTCCTGGTTTATTGCCCCTTTGTTAAATGGGACAGCAGTTAATTTGACGCAAGGCTTCGTTTCAAACTAACTTCAACTACACCGTGATGTTTTCAGGAAGAGTAAAAAATGGAACGTTTTTTGAGAATAAACATCTGACGAGTCTCAAAATGATTAGAAGTAATGTCATCCAGATGTGTACAGTTGTAACCTGAATTTTCCTTCATCAGTTTCTTCATCAGTTACATCAGTTTCCCAGAGAGCCTTTTTACCATGCTCGTCTCCTACTGTTGCAAATTTGTTTGTGCATTTGTTCACATTGCACCATATATATGTATATTTGTGAGTCAGTTGCATCGGCATGACAACACAAACGCTTAGAGTTGATTTAAGTGTCATTGAGTGTAATTGCAGAGTCACTGACAGTAATTAGGTAGCACACCAAGCTCACCAACGCCTGTAATAGAGTGTAGAGAGACAACCAGTCTCTTATTTCACACTGAACTGAAGGACTGTTTTAATAGCAGCCTGTCAGTAAGGCTGTTATCTGTTTTCCAGAGGTTGCATTATGAGGTGTACAGCCTGGTTGAAATGTTAGATTTAGAGCAGCATGAGTGCACAGAAGCAGTTAAGACATGGCAAAGAGAATTGCGTGGGGATTTTCACAACTGAAACTGCATGCACATAAACACACAAGCACATGTGGTAAATTTTAAACAGTCAACATGAAGCATTTCTTGAAGGAAACAACATTTATTTTATATGTAAACACAGATCATAAGTCATTAGAACTACTAGTACTACTACTAATAATAACAGGAAGAAGAAGACAACTGATTTTTTTTAAGATGAACAATTTTTTTCAGTATTAATATCTGAATTGTGGCTCCATTTATCTTTTGATTAGGGTTTTAGTTAATATTGGGTGTAATTAAATATGTTCAGGTTTACTCTGCAAATTTTTCAATACCTGTTGCCATTTAATTTCACCTTCCATGTGAAGAAGTCATCTGAGACCCTCAGTCACAGACTGCGCACACATACCACTCACAGGTCTCTTTGTTAGATATCTAATCAGCCAACGACATGGCAGAAACTCATCATTTGCCTGCAGACATGATGAAAATGATCTGCGGAAGTTCAAACAAAGCATCAGAAAGGAACAAAGCTAATTTAAGCCACTTTGAATGCGGCATGGTTGTTGGTGCCAGAAGGGCCAGTCTGAGTATTTCAGGAATTGCTGATCTACTGGGATTTTCCCACACTACCATCTCTCGTGTGTACAGTGAGCATGGCCAAAATAAGAGAAAATATCCAGCGAGCAGCAGTTCGTTGAGTGAAAATGACTTGTTGATGCCAGAGATCAGAGGAGAATGGTCAGGCGACGTCAAGCTGACAGGAAGGCAACTGTGACTCAAAAAAACACACTCGATACAACCCAGATATGCAGAAGAGCAGCAGAACTTTGAAGCACAGGGTGCCGTTCTTGTCAGCTAAGAACAGGAAATTGAACCTACAATTCACTTTGACTCACCAAAATTGGACAATAGAAGATTGGAAAAACCTTGGCTGGTCTGATGAGTCTCACTTCTACTGAGACATTCAGAGAGTCGGGACAGAATTAGGCAAAAACTACACAAAAGCATCAAGAGTATGAACAGTTCAGACAGCTGCTGGTGGTGTAATGTTGTGGAGCTCTTAGTACCAACAGAGCATTATTAAAATATTACAGTCTACCTGAGTGTTATGAACGCAGTGTCTCCTGATAGTGCCTTCCAGCAGGATAAATCGAGTGCCACAAAGCTCAGATCATTGCCTCCACGGCCATCAGATTTCAATCCAATAGAGCACCTTTGGGATGTGTTGAGCATCATGGATTTGTAGCCAAAATTTCTGAGGAATGTTTCCAGGACTGTCTTGTATTTGTGACATGAAGAATTAAGGCAGAGTCCAACCCTGCGCAGAAAGGTGTACCTAATAAAGAGTCCACTGGCTGTATATTAAGCATCAAGAACAACTCCGCTCATAGAGTTCTCTCTGTCTTGAATGGAATCCTCATTTTCCCAACAAACTGCACAACAATAGAAAAATGCAAAAGTCTGCTAAGGGCATCGGACCCTGTTGTTGTCCAAAAACATATCCGCACTGTTGCACAATGCAACGATTTTATTTTTATTCTTTGAACTCCTGAAAAACAACAGTGCTACTGATTTACACTGGAGAAAATATACTGTCTCACTGTTTTAGGAAGAGAGAACCTTTTTAAGATACATTTTATAGACTTCAAGTAAGTGAGTCTGGGTTGGGACTAAGTGTGACAGACAGGAGAGGCGAGATGAAAAGTGCTGAGAGATGAACTAATGCAATGTTGAGTTTGGCATCCCATGAGATTTGTTTTTCAGCCTGGCAGCGTGTGCTCACCTAAAGCAAATATATCAAACAATGACAGCTTTTTGTGTCAAAGCCCAGTTATGTAATATATGGTGCAGAGCCAAAAAAACATCCATTGCGAGCAGAAATAAGGAAATGTGCACACCGAAGAAAAACAGTGTTAGTGCTGATGTTCGTGCTTGAAAAGAGGATGAATGCAGAAAACTGTCAAGGCTTAAAGTCACGTCTTAAGTCGTGTCCTGGACAAATATTTTGAGTTGTATTACAAAATATGTATTTTGTGTTTGTTTGTTTGTTTTCTGCAGTTGTGTAAATACACTTTTTCCTTTGTGCACAAACGTGGCTTCAAGATAGTGCGCTGACAGCTCATACACAATAATTATGTTTGAATATGTTTAATGAAAGAAACATTTGTGCCCAGGTCGTAAACCCACACAAGCATGCACAGACTCATTATCTCCCATAAACATGAACAATGGGCCATGAGGCATGCTTACCACACATAGTCATGTTCCATCACTTCAGAGGAGGAAATGCATTAAATCCCCAGCCTAACCCCAACCCTTAGGCTTTGATCATATATTTTTCTTATGTTTCTAGTCCCCAAAAGTTGAGTCCCCTCAATGCGACTGAATAAACAAACAAAAGCACTAATAACATTAATCTGACGCAAACAAAGGCACACAGAGTTCAAACAGTCAAGAAGTCAGGTAAGAATACAAGACGCAGTGGGGTCCTCTCCATCACTAAGGTAACAAACACAATGACGCAACTATGAAGTCATCAAATAAATCCATCGTGCATGGCCTCCGGGTGTTTATCGTAACCACAGGAATTGCGGGGATTTTATAGGCATCGAGTGAAATCTGGCATGGCTCCAATATTCAGAAGGAGGAGACAAAGAGAGGATTTTTCAGATGCGTTTATTGTATGAGAATACATGAATGCAGACACGCTTGTCCACTTTCACAGTGCATAAATGTCACAACACAGGAGTATAAATGCTTTACATGCCCTTTAGGGAGAGACAGCAGAGGTAGAGTTTGGAGCAGAGAGGATGTGATTCAACCTGGCAGCACAAACCTTGTTATGAAGCTTTATATGAACTGCAATACTCCAACTACAAAAAGACTAAACTCTGAATAAGACTTGGCTGCTTCTAATCATGCTATCGAGGTGAACTGAAGAAAACTTTCAGACTTGTATTCACTGAAAAAAATTGTTTAAAATTTCTTAACAACATAAAATATTTTTGATAAGATCATCAGCGATTACATTTGCTTGGGTGTTCGACACTCATAGTTCAGCTAATCTGCTTTCTGAGGGCATTACGGGTGTTTGGTCAGATCTGGCTGATGGTGGCTTGGCAACACAGACAAACAACACAACAAATGTAGTGATTTGACTGCAAAAAACTCAATTGCAACACGTACAATTTGCGCAACCACTTCTTGTCGTTCCCTCAAAATGAAAAAAAGAAAGAGATAAACTGGCTTATCGAGATTAACTGAGAAAACACATTTTCAGAATAGGGAAATCGGACATTTCAAGGACACAAGCAGCCGTTACTCTCCGCAGGGTACACCACAAAGCTGCGCAGGCTGCAGTAAGGCGTAGCAGTAGTTGAGCTAAATGCTGAAATTAATAACAAAGCAATGAAAAATGCAGATCTCTTGGTGGCGCAGAACTAAAGGTCAGTGAATGTTATGCTGAATCCATCTTGTCTAAAATACTTAACCTTTTCATGCATGAATTATGACAACCTCAATCAGGATTTTTTCTTTTAGCATTTTTAGTAATCTTTAGGCATGAAAGGATGAATAAAAATACTTGAGAAAACAATGCTGATTGAGGTTGTCATAATTCATGCATGACAGGGTTGAATAACAATAATTACAATGAAACACGCCATACATCTATAGTAACATTGAACGACCAGTGGGTGGCAGGGTATGGAGTGACACATCAGTGTCCAATGCAGAGGTTTATGTGCAAGTATACCACCAACATGACACAAATACAAGAAAACAGCCTTTGAATAGCTGTCCACTGTAGTGACCACTATGCGTGAAATGGTTAATTTGATATGCTTGTTCTTGTGGTGTCGTTAGTATTATAGAACCAATACAGGAGAATCCCCATAGCTCATTTAAATCAGAATCTGGATCATTGCAGTTCATGTAAATCATAAGATGCAAAGACATGCAGGCTTTTGCTCAGATGTTTGCTTTTACATATTATTTAGCTGGTCTTGTAGGTACTGGAGTGTGGGAAAGTAAATGTAAGTAGTGAACACAAGATTATTACTCAGTAATCGATACAAAGCACTTTTGAACAAAAATCAGAAATTTTACACAGATCAAACTGAGTTTTTGGCAACAATATATCAACTTTCCAAGAACAAACAAAACAAAACAAAAGCATTTTCACAGAATCAGCAACAGTTTTACACGAGCTGTACCAATTTTACCACCACTTTAACATGATTTTATATAGAGACACATTATCGTGTGATGAAAGTCAACTGAGGCACAGAGGTAAGAATATGAACAGAGCTACAGTATATCCTCACAGTGTGGCAAAATACAGTAAAGTCCATTTAGAAGTCCTCTGAACATAATAGAAAGCTGTTTAAATAAGATGAATAAGTCAACGCTCCCCTATTTCTACCAATCAAGAACACAATGTCCCATAAAATGTGCGACAGGAACACTGATGAATGTACAGCAGAGCAGCAAGAGCAGATTTACAGTGCAAGAAAATCTCAGTACACAGCATGGTGTATGCACATCATCATTAAGCCATAATGTAAACCAACACAAAGCAAGCAGAGGGACTTACAGTCATTTAGATTCATTATTTATCTTGTTAATGGACATATTAATGATATAACTGCCATTACCAGCACTGTTGCATCATGGGTAAAAAACCAACCAACATTATGCATCAGTATGTGTTTTTAGATCAACAGGATGGAAACAAAAACTGGGTAAAAAGTAAAATCTGATTTATTAAACATTAATGAATGTAAACATTTCAAAATCTTAGAGTGGCACGACATGTAATGCTGGTTTGGTGCTTTTGCAGCACTGTGGGTCTCTCAAAGGTTTTTACATTTAAAGAAACACTTTGATATTTTGAGAAAATAGATAAAAGGATTTATGCCAATGTCACTTCTTAAAAAGCTGTTGAACAGCAAAAAAATACTTGTGGTTGAATAGGTCCTTATTTTTATTTTAGTTCAGTCATTTAGTTATATTTTTTTGATGAACCAAAACATGTATTAACCTTTAAATATTTTTGTGTTTTTTTAAAATTGGGCAGGTTGTTATACCCTTTCCTGTATTAGCGCTAAGCTAAGCCAACGGTTTACATCTTCCCCTATTATTAGGCCACCAGAAAGTCGAAAACTATTCCTCTGAAGACATGATGCTATGGGTAAAGGCAGACAGCTCACTGGTTTACACTTAAGTTATTCTTCTGCAGTGAATCTATGCAGACACTACGATGTAGCGTACACAAGTTGCCCACATGGTTTTCCAGCATTTACACCTGCCCTTGCATCAGTGTGACATATAATTACATTGCTGGGGAGGTGCACATCAGGTTATTGTGCATGGTTTCTGGTTATGATGCACCTATGATGTAGATTTAAGACAGAAAAATAAACAACCTGTGAGATATAGGCATGTCTTGTTTTAAAATTGTTTTTCTCATTGTTTATTCTAACCTCTAATTGGAAACATACCCTCCAAAACAAAGAGTGGTATCTGTTGTAGGATGTCAAAGCACCCCCAAAGTCCAAATTAAAATTTCTTCATTGCAGTTTACTTCTACATAAAAAAGGAAGGAAAACCAAGCTTTCTGACTATAAACACCTTATTTCTGCATTTTCATTTGATTTTTCTTCCCTTTTTTTTTCTCCCTAATTTCCATAGCATGTTTAATTCAAAGCAGCATTACTCCTGTGTGCTTTTAATCTGTATTATTCTTAAAGAAAGATTAATAAAAAGTCTGTGTAAAAAATAGAGTTGTATGGATTAGGACAGCTATATACCAGCGAAAGGAAATCTGTCCAAGAACCTCCACTCTGTCCAGCAAAGTAGAGAGAAATAATAATTAAAAAACAGATACAGTACCAATACTTTCCCCATCACCAATCTCCTCCTAAAAGAGACGCAGGCACACAAAAAAAGAGGAAACCTTCAGGCTGAATAATGCACCTCTACGTGACGATTTTTCAGCACCTGGTAACACGGTGAGATGAAACCACTTCCTGTCAAGTCATAACCAGACAGGACAAAAAGCTGAAGGCAAACATCAAAAGCGAGCAGATAGAGAAGATGGTGTTTCTGTGGGTGAGAACCTTCTGAGCAACACGATGCAATCAGCACTTTAAAACTAGTCCCACGACATTATGCAACAATCCTCCACTCAGGTTCTCTGCTTGAAAAACATTTTCACATTTTCTTGTGGACAAAAAGCTTCTGTTGTGCTAAGATTCTTCTTTTTTATATAAACTTGAACAGATTTGTCTGTTTAATGCAAATATACACAGGATAGACAGTATATACTGCAAGGACAAAAAACAGTTACATTCACTTCCCCCCCACCCCCCAAAAAATGGGCTGCTCCACTTGATGTAATATAAAGTGTATTACAGAAAAATCTTTAGTAGCATTAAAGACTAAGGCCAAACAAAAATAATAACACGTGACCCTGAGCTGGTGCATGGCCGTTCAGATGGTGTTGAGTTAAAGAAGCTACGGATAGAATTGAAACAAACTAAAGGACCACACACGATACTTAAATAACATATTGTGCATGTAGATTTTCTACCTTGTGTATTTCTGTGTGCAGCATCCTAAATTCACACTTGCGTTTAAACAGGCCAAAGGCAACTGCTGCAGGTTCAGGCAGCTGGATAAGGGACCCCAGGAGTCTATGTTTGTAAGTGTGTGTGAGAGAGACATAATTTGGAGGAGAGCGACTGATGCATTCAACCCATCAAACTATTACACCACAGTGAACTCCTCTCCTCCCTTTTGCCTCTTGCTGTTGCCCCAGTCCATCCACATGCAGGAGGCCCTGGTGAGTCGTTGACTTCAGGACTTCCCCTGACAGCTCCACCCCCCCATTCTGAGGGAGGCTATGTGGGGTGAGGCTGTCACGTCCGCAGCTTCAGGATGACTGTCGCCAGGATGAGGAAGAAAGTGTTCCAGCCCAGGGTAACAGCGAAGCCTCGCCACACCATCATCCGAGACAGACCCCAGCCTGATGGGAAGATTTATATCTACATTTACTACATAGATTAAAAAACAAAAGAAAAAACAAGCAAAGAGTGGACACAGAAAAAGACAAGGTCGACGATTTCAGCACCAGATTTATGCAAACTGTGATCAAAAAGTTCTGAGACTGCACCTACAAGAAAGCAGAAACTCTACCCCCTCACTTCAAGGTTGTCTCTATATGCACTTATGTGTATTTCCCTGAGCTCATGCCAATTTAAGATTTCTTTCTAACCACCCTTTTATTTGTGATTTGTGCAGAGAGCAAGCATCAGCTTCTGTACCCATTTGACTCTTCATGTTGAGGACCATCAATGGGAGCTGGGCTGCAACTCAGAGACGTGTCAGGCATGTCAGATCAATTGTGCAAAAAAGGAGCAAGCTTTTACATTTTTTGTTAGATATATTTACAGTGTTGTGCACTGTGACACTGTCCAATGGGTCAGACTGCCAGTGGGAAGCTCTAATGTAACCTGTGTGTGACCTTTGATGAAATTCCCCCAAACTGTGGTATGCATCACCGACCCGGCTTAACAGATTGATCCCTGCAACTTCTTCCAACAAAATAAATACAAGTTGAAGGTTGTTGTTTTGCAAATGCACACCTGCAAGTGGTCAGAGTGGACACGGAGAGATCAAAGACAGGGCAAGACTGCTGAAAGAGACCCCGGTGTTTCAATAAAAATCAGGGACAATTTTTGCTTTTTTTTTTTTATAGCCGACAGTCTCTGAAGAATTTTATAGTTTTCCAAGACTTTAGTAAACTAACCCTTTATATCAATAAGAATAAGAAAGGGTTTACAAAAAGTGGACACAACGTGATGTGATTTAGAAATTTGTAACTTGTGTCTTTTTTTTCTGTCTATTAAAAAATTATCAATCAAAAAAGAAGATGTATATATCAGTTGTATATAGTATTTGTATTTGTATTCTATTTTTATCTTATTGTATATTTATTTTATTTTATTCTACTGTATATAGTATTTTATTTTATTCTATTCTGTACAGTTGTGTACTGTATTTATTCTTATTGTATTCTAATTTTTGCCTCATAACTTTTGCACTGTCCACTTCCTGCTGTGACAAAACAAATTTCCCACGTGTGGGACTAATAAAGGTTATCTTATCTTATCTTATCTTATCTTATCTTATCTTATCTTATCTTATCTTATCTTATCTTATCTTATCTTAAAATAGACCTCAGGGCGCCCCTTAGTTTATCCTCGATTTGAAATAAGCTGTTGTAGCTCATTTTGCTTCATGCCAGTTTTCTTATAATGGGCTCCCCTTTGAAGTTGGGGGAACCCAAGTGTTTCGAGCAGACTCAAATTTTATCTCACAGGGATCTCTCATATATAAGCTGACCTCAGTATCTCAAAAAGGTTTTAGTACAAGCTTCGACCCCTGGAAAAAAAAAGAAAATAAAACAAAGCATAATAGATTGATCTTAAATCTGGGTCTGAGTTTATAGACAGGGACATCTTGTATGAGATTAAACAGTCATCAAGTCCAGTTAGCAAATGTGGCAGGATGAAGCTGCATTTTCCATGGTAAAAGAAAAGAAAGGTGGCAGTTCATTTCCTAAATTGAACTCTGACATTGTGGACTTGTCCCTGTGAGATTTTTTCCACCACATCTATACGATAAGGCCTTCAAACAGGAAATGGCTCCTCCGACTTCCTCTGTATCAAATAGCACAAGGGGAGCTCGTGCTGTCATCAAGTCTTATTGTTCAGAGGTCAACAGGAGGAGAAAAGATTGGAAGACAGAGTGAAACCACTACACCTCCTGAGAGATGAGTTACACTGGACCCAGAGCTGATTAATGATTTAGTCAACTGGCTCCGTTGTGCACAACGTAATCATCTGAGCCGTGCACACGCTGCTAACTCTTACACGCTACCAATATGCCATATGGTGCGCAGCAACAACACATGACGTTAAACTGTTGTTGTGTGTGATGTGTTCTGTGCATGAGCGTTACCTCTGTACATGATACAGCGAAGGGCTTCTGAGGCGTAGGTCTGAGGAAGGACCAGGCTAAGGTAGCGGAGAGGATACGGGATACATTCCACGGGCCAGATGATACCTACATGACAGGACAGAGAGGACAATGTGTCAGATGTGGGTAAGATATCATTTACACCTCCAGCAGGAATGCTTTGTGTCTAGATTCTGATAACAAGCAGGCTGTGAAGCATTAAAATAATCTGCCCTTTCTCTTGTTTTTTTCTGTTTTTTTCACATTCCAAATCAGGTTCAAAGTTCAGTCTGAGCAGCTGAAAAACTAATCTCACTTCACGGTGCATTTAGCAGCTCTTCTGCAGCAATCACTTCATCAGCACACAAATTTTGCTTTGAATTGCAGATGTTCAGAATTCCATCTTTTTCTAAGGAAGTCTGGACTCAGAGTTCAAAGATGGAAATATTGTGATATGGCTGGAAGATCCAGAGCAGAACAGCAACAGGATGAACACTGCAGTGGAGAGATTTTATTCACTGCTGTTTCCGTCCTTTTAGGCCACAGCATCAAAATAAGAAAAAGCCTTTAAAGAATTTCTTATTATTCTGTGTGGTCTGACATCACAGATGTATGCAGAGTAACTATTACATCCTCCAAAAATATCTTCAAAAATATCAGTTTCTTTACTCATGAATCATTAACTGGGACTTAATCAAAGGAATAACAAGCATGTCAAAATTATATCAAAAATCTGATATGCCTCACACTGATATAAGAGCATTTTAATTTCATTGTATATTTCAGGCATGTTTTTCTTGTCTGCGTGTTTTTTCACTGGATTTTGTTGTTGTTGTTTTACGTGGCCCTTTTGAAGACTAGCAACCAGTTTGTGCAACTGCAGGGCTTCTAACAAGAAGTCTGATATGATATGAAAACACTGGATGACTTAGTGTGCATAAGAAAAACCAAAATTAAAGAAAATCTGCTATAAATGATTAAACATCAGTGAGTTAGGCAGTGGGCTTTAGTCTTTGTAAGCTTATTTGCACATCAGTGTCAGCAAAGGATAAACACATTTCCCATAATGTATATATACAAAATATTACACATCCTCCTACAGCTTCTAAAGTTTTGAGCTTTTAATCCAAATAAAACCACCATTTATTTGCACTACCTACACAAATGCTTACACCCAGTTCACAACATCAAAGATGATTTAATCAGATTCTAATTCCCTGATTCAGTGATGCTCAGACTCACACCTACTGTGCTTTTTAAGGCTTTTTACACTCACAACAGTAAATCTCACTGCTTACCACTAAGGATGAGGTTGGGATAGAAGATACCCAGAGCAGCCTGGTTGGCGCTCTGCTCGTCGTCAATTGCAGATGAGATGACGAGGCCAAATGAGATGCCTGTGACACCCTGCAGGACTATCAGAATTATGACGAGCACCAAGGACCCTTCGTTAGGGTTCTGCAAAGACAGAGAGAGAGAAAGAGATGAAGAGCAGGGGTAAGAAAAAGATAAGCTTGATTAAGTTGTGGGCATTTTAAATGCAAAGCTGCAGCAGACCTAAAAGTTAAGAAAAATAGAGGGGAAGCTAGAACAAAGCAGTACTTCCAGCATCATAAACACGGGTAAGGGCCTTCCATCGAATTATTACTAAGACAGTGATGGATTTACTAAAAATCATATGGTTGGAAAAGAAAAATCTTTTCTGCACAGTGTGAAGAAAACCTCTTTGCTAGGGTGCATAAAGATTTAACTCTGGATCAATGGGAAAAGGGAATAATCTCATATTTACGCTGTTCCGGACTGACTGGTGTATCAGCGTAAAAACAGAGGTGGATAAAGTGATGCACCTATTACGTCTACTCCCTGCGAGCCTCTCGGGGGCTGTGCTATGATCTGGGGTTGCTTCATTTTGTCAGGTCTAATTCAGCAACATTATGTACCCCAAAAATGAGGTGAGCTGACTGCCTGCATCTCATCATCAGTTCTGCTCTGCTTGGAAATAAATGTTGTAACATTGCATAAGGTCATCAAAATGATGCCACAGCTAATGTGCTGTGATTAAAGCTAAAGATGGTCAAGTATTCAATATTGTTTTAGCGAGCACAGTATTTCTTATCACAAGTAGAAAAAGCTGAATAAACACACACAGACACTGCAGCATTACAACCAGATTTTTAAAACTTGAAACAATGTAAGCTTTTCTTGTAAAATATATTACAATTGTCTGTCTGCTGGGAGTTTCTAAAACTATTTGAAGATGATAGTAGTTTTTAAAAAAAATGTTTGTGATGGTTTATGTTTGTGTCACAGAATTATTGATGAAGCTAAAGCCATGGAAAACCATGATATGATACATTTTAAAAAAGGAGCTGTGAAAGACGTTTGATGGACATGAAATTACACCAGCGCTTGCTGCAAGCTCACTCCTGACATGATGTACAATCATCTTGTGTGGCTGTTAAAGGGGAATTCCACTATTTTATCATATCTGCATGGTCTGTGGGGAAAGAGAAGTCTGAAGATGAATAAATAAATAGAGGTGAGGAGTTAGAAAGAAATGAGATTGCAGGGCTGATCCTAATCTCTATCTTAATCAGTTGAAAACTCTTTCCTAATGTGTAATAATTACGTTTTTAAGTTATGGTTGTTTTTTCCATCCCTGGACATTCAAGGCCATTTTAAGGAGTTTTAACATTTAGTTTCACCACAGATAACAAGGACAAATAGTTCTTACCCTGACTATACACCAGTGAAATGGTCCTGTGATGTTAATATGGGAAGTTATCATGCATTAAAGAGTGGTGTACAAAATCAGACACTGCAGAGAGGAGTTTAACTGTCCACCACATGTAACATATCAGAGTGCAATACTAAATCACCTGGGGCGACTTTGAATCAGTGGAATTTTTTTTAAATAACACAGGAAAAGACAAGAAGATGAGATGAAGAGAAAGGGGGGGGGGGAAGATAAAAAAACAACAACAAAAAAACATAGAAGCACTTTGATTTTCTGGACTTATCTTCAGCCAAAAATACCACAAGAAATGGAAAGAACTATCACTGCTAGTGAACTTTGGTCTGGGGTGTAAATGAGGTATGAAACTTTTCAAAATCACATAAAAGCAGTAAAACAGAGACTGGAAGTCTCGCCTCACAAGATTCCAGGTGATAAGCTAAACTGTGTGTGTGTGTGTGTCTGTGCCCTTCTTGGAGTGTTAAGACACTTCCCGTCTCCCCTGACAACGTGCAAAAATAAACCTGCACCAAGAGACCACATGACCACTCGGTTGCCACAGCAATCAAGGCCTGTTGTTGTGGTGATCCTGCAGTGATCCTTGGATACGGCCGGAGCGGGAAGTGATTTATGGAGCGGTGGGTTCTGTGGACTTGAGCACCTTAATTAAAACACACACACACACACACACACACACACACACACACACACACACACACACACACACACACACTAACACAGAGGAGCGCACGCATAAAAGCAGGTCCCTGCATGAACTAAACGCACACTCACATTTATACTCTGTTCTTTCTTCTCTCTATTGATTTCATATGGATGTCTATCAATAATCAGTAGTGAAGGAAATCCCGATGTTCCCACTGGTTTGGTCATTAAAGCCAAGGATATTAAAGTTAATCGAACTTGTGACATTTAAGTTAATGGTAATGAAAATTAAAAGTAGACTTTAAAAAAAGTACAACAAAAATAAATAAAATACCAAAAATGTCTTTAGCAGCAACAACATAACAACAGCATAAACTAATGAAAAAGAGAAAACCATAAAACTCTGGGTTTAACAGTTCAGATACTTTTCTCACTGGATGTCAGAAGGATTTATATTCTTTAAATAAAGAAGAAGCTACTTTCCGTTATATATTCTTCCTGGCCCAATTCCAAAGGGATTTGTATCTCCTTTTAGGATTTTTTTTTGCTTGTTAGTCAGTTAGTGTAAACCAATACACAACTGAGCCACTGTTTAAAGTCTTTAAATGTGAAGACAAGTTTTCATGTCCTCATAGTCAAGTCATAAAACAGCAAATAGCCAATGAAAACTGGCAAGATTTGTCACATGTTTCATGACATCAGCGATTCTACATTAAATCTCGAGTCATAATATGGTGAAAAGCAGCACTGTTTGATAAGTCCATGTGTATATAGAGTAGCTGAACTTTGTCTTGCCACATAAGTGATGTTATGAAACAGTTTTGGACCAATAGAAGAAAGTGGAAAGTGGCCTTTATGTGATATATTTCCTCTTGAGTGCACTGTACCTAAATTTTTATGTGGGAAAAAAGGTATATGCTTGAAAAAAAAAATAGAGGTTAATAAAATTATCATAAAATTATGACTTGAATCCACTGCAGGTAAAGTCTGATTTTGATGATGTAGGAAAAATGCAAATGAAGATGGTAAAAGGTCGGCGAGGGATTAACCTTGTCAGAGCTGTTCCCTGCATGTTGAACGAAACCATATCAGAGGCCGTTTTAAAAAGCAAAGAAAATCTCCCTCACACAATGAGTTTGCAAAGAGCACAGGAAATACCACGTTTCAACCTAAAGTGCTCAACATTAAGTGACCGTGTTGTGGTCTCAGCAAAGGTTAAACAGGACTGACCCTGTGGTCTGGCTTTGCAAACACTTATTGGCATTACACTGACTGAAAGCAAACACAGAAAATCAATTAAAGAAGCAAACAGTGAGGTGACATCTGTTATACTGTGAGGTAAAAATAACAGTCAGCCTTGTTTATATAACCAAACCGTTCTTAAGGCTTCTATTTTTATCATTCATTTCCCCTGCTGACACTTTCTTCTCTGTGGACTTCATTTTTTACTGCTGCAAAGGTTCATCTGACTACGTCTGTATTTTGAGTTTCTGTGTTATTTTTCGGTTTTATTGCTTCTACCTTGAAGACGAGCAGCATCATAAGAAGCAGCAGGATGATCTGAACGCTGATGACGAACAGCTGAGAGAAGAGGTGAGCCAGCATCGTCTCCAGAGAGCTCACACCTGATAGAAACACAGAGAGACAAAATTCAATAAACTCACTAAAAGATCTTTACACATTTTACATTCACATCAATTATTTAATCAATTACGTAATGTTGCAGTCAATTTATGGGTTCCCAGTATCTATCAAATCATAATCATAACAGAGGATAAACATAAACTGCTTCATAAACATAAACTTTTTAACTGCTCAGCTATATTATACTTTTTTTTATTACAAACTAAGTCACATGTGATACCTGCGACTATAACACATTTTTGATATAATTACAAATACTCAACTAGAAAAATTTGCATTTCCTGCGAAAATGCTGTGTGGATGCCTT